TGATTCTTTCACATGGGAAAAAAAAGCAGAAAGAAAATTAATTTTTTTTTTCAAAAAAATTGTGCTACTGCCAATGAAGTCACAGCTGCCTGGCCCTCCGCTGACTTTTCTCTCAAGTGCTACAGAATCACTGTTGCTCTTCTAGCCACCAATCTGCATTATGGTCAAGTGGCAACACACAGCACTATGACAACTTTTTCAAAATTCAGTACTCTGATTGGGTATGTATGCATTTATACCCTTTATTCACAAATGTATATCCTATTCAAGTGAGTTTAGACTACCATGCAATCTATACTGCGCTGTAAAAATCCCTCTGTTTTTATTTGTTTATTTTAATGGTCACTTACCCAATTTTTATGCCATCTGTGATATTTACTAGCAACAATTTCAGGTTTCCTTGCAGATATGTTATAATGATGATAAACAGCCTCAGGACAAGAAAAGGTCCTGTGGACCTCACTGGTTACAACCCCATAGCCTGATTTTTTCTTTACAATTTCTGTGGGATATCAGTTACCACTTAATAATGTGTCTATGCAAAATACTAATTTTCATGAGGTTAAATTGATTAGAGTAAATGAAATAATTCAGAGAATTAACTGTGTCAACTTTGTTAAAATGCATAACCTAACTAATATTTTATTTCAGTTGTTTCACAAGACTATTTTCCAATATCAGATTTCTTGTTAACTACTTTCTTGTTCAGCTGTTCCCAATAGTATCATACGTTTTGGTTGTCTCCAGTTATCAGTCTTCTCCAGGACTTTTCCTTGAATCACTGTAATGCTAATCAGCCTACCACTACCTGGAACATCTTACTTCTATTTTTTACATGCTGGCACAGTATCTGCCTTTTTTTGGACTTTGAAGTTTTTCTAGTATTGTGATGTTCATGAAACCACTTCAGTTCCTACCTTTGACTAAAAAAAGCCTACACCATTTCCAGGGTTTGCGGGTGTTTTTATTTCTTAAAGAATTTTTATTATCTTTATCGACAATAACAAAAGATTATTCTTTCTCTACTGATTTATTTAGCTTTTAGATATCTACTCATGAATGTTAATTCATACTCATTATCTTTTTCCTTTTCTTTATTACATATTCTTTTGTTTCTATTGACATTTTCATTTTTCTTAACTAGACTTGTTAAAAATGTTTAAATTATCCTTTGTAGCTGGAGAACCAAGCTTCTTCAAGTATCTAATGACATTTTCTTTCAGATAATTCCCAGTCATTCTGATTGTATTGCTTTGTTTAACATTTTCTTCCCTTATAATTTCACAGGGGAAAACTGTGAATGCATCAGAATGCTTCATTGCATATTTGTGACATTGGTACTGTTAAATGTATTTTTTCTAATAGAAATATTGATTGTGTAATATGTATTTTGTAAAGCAGTGCTAGACAAAATCAGCAAACATCTAACTGTTCAAATAGTCACTAAGATAATGAGGACATGGCTCTGGCATCACTAGTTTGAAGGCAATCACAGATGACTTCACAAAACTATGGGATTTTGGTTTTGTTTTGTTTGGATACTGAAGCCAGAAAAAAATAAACCGATAATAAATAGGAGAATGCAAGCATCAAGTAACACTGTATTTTTACAAATGAGAAACTAAGGGACAACAATAAGGCAGAGACAAATACTTTGAAGTCTCATCTATTAAATACTTGCTCCCTCATTATTTATCTCAGTCTCTTCAGCTTCCCTGTTAATTTACATATTAAATGGATTTTTTTAAACAAAATAAAAATAACCAAAATACAATGTCATGCTCTGAAGTCACCCTATGATAAAACTTGTGTATCTTAATTGTAAAGCCATGCAGCTCTTTCTAAACAGAGCTAATACTTAGTCTCAACTAACGATAAAGGGCATCTCTAACCACTTTATATCTTACTCCACTGTTTACAAGATTATCAGCAAAATGTGATTTCTGAGTATCAGCCACAATACTGTAACCATCTCTGATTATGGTAGTCCAGAATAAGTAGATTTCTGTCCTAAAATTGAAACCAGCAAAAAATAGGATAGGATGGGATAGGATAGGACAGGACAGGACAGGATAGAATAGGACAGGACAGGAAAGGGTAGGGTAGGGTAGGGTAAGGTAGGGTAGCGCAGAATACCCTAAAAGGCTGCCCACTCACTTGCCATTCACTGTCAATGTGAGGTTTCCCACCAACAAGTCAAAAAGTCACACGCAAGAGTGAGCAGCTAGTAAATCAGTGACCTGGCCCACATTCCGATAATATATTCTAGGTAGCTCCAAAATTACAGTTAATAGTACTTCTTTAAGGAAAATAGTCTGCAATAGTCTTTACTCTCAAAGCAGAGTGTGGTTTTATTCGGGAGAATGAATTCAGTTACTGCTTTGAACTTCACTGCATTTCAGAGGATTTTACCCAATTCTCTGAACTACTTCTCTGAATAAAGCAACATTTGCCTGAACTGAAGTTAAACGTCTCCATGTTTTCCCTCAGTTTCTATTGCAGAGAGGGAAAACATTTTTAACCATTTTGGCACAAAATTATCTCAAATATTTAAGTAAATGACAAAAAATTTAAAAAATACAGCAATATCTGGTGTGAGGCTTTCTGTGAAGTATGAATTCAAGAGACATTTTTAGAAAGTACTGGGAACGGGAAAAACTATTGTGGATACATTGCTAGATATATTATAGAGATGATATCAAAAAAATTGAATGTGAGGAGACAACTCATGTTGTCTTTGATGGTTTAGAATTCAAGATGCCCCCTGTAAAAAAAAGCTATTTACTCTCAACTACAGCTCAATTCTCATATTAAGGGCACTATCAAGAGATCTTCTGTAAATTTAAAAATATTTTTCTTTGCATCTTTTTCTAATAGCCTCTTTGAATCCACAAATTGAAACCTATTTTCCTGCTGGAGGCCTGATTATGCAACCTTTTCTCACAATTCTTGAAATTATTCACATGAATAACTCACACTAAAGTTCATGGAAGTGTTTCAATGTGATTAAAAAGTTGCAAAATATTTTCCTGATGTTCATTCTTCCAAACTGGATTATTATTACAGGTGTTCTCAGCACTGCTTGAATGACAGTAACATAAAAAAATCTGCTGTTTTGGCAGAAACCTGGTAGTACATGCATTTTGCAAACCAATATTATAAATACATCAATAAAAAACCTACTCTCCAGAGAAAAAGAAGTCAAACATCAAAACTGCCAACCCTAATAACATTCCTTTCAAGTAAAAATACAAGCTCCCCATATGCGCTCCAGACAAAACCGAGCAGTACTCATTTGAAAGTTTCTCCCAGGATGTGATGTCTGCCTCTTGGTTTTCATGACAAAGCACTAATTTACGTAAGCAGGGTTAGTCAGGACTAGCCTGTGGACAGTGTGGTTAAGGCTCACTCGATCACCTTAAGTTTTGTAAGTTTATTCCTCTCCCTGTGGTTACATTCAGAGATCTGCAATACTTTGATAAAGAAGTTCACATAGAAAAAAGTCATGAGGGTCACCTAGTGCATCCTCACATACAAGTGCGTGACTGCTCCTTACACTTTGATCAAATGTCTACCTATCCAGGTGGCCTATGCACAAAGATGCACACTGTGCAGACTGCAAGGAAGGAATGAAGCAGTATGTCCTATGCTTTTGGCAAATCTGTCTTTTACAGGCAGCAGTGTGAAAACCATTCAAAGCTAGACTAATTACGGCAATAAGTTCCCCACACCCCAGGGAAGATAAGCAGGGGAGAACATCCTGCACCCTTCTGTATTCTTCAAATCGGAGAACGCTTTAAAACACAAGAGTGTATTTAGGATGTATATGATACATTATTGTCAAGGCCAATAGTAGGATTTCTACTTTCTTCAGCAAGAGTGAGACCCCTAAATACTGTACAACTGTAAGCTACTGTGTCTGTCTGAGCAATCATGGTCCTTCCCTGTCAGCAGTTATTGAGGGATGGGGAAGAATTAACATTATTCTCATGAGGAAAAAGTGAAGGTTCAATCTTAATTTTTCTTTAATATTTAGCAGAAATTTATCTCCTCCAGAGTTCAGCAAAGTTGTTCATCTTCTGACATTTGTCTGCCTCCTCAAAAACTTACTGTACCCTATACAATATATCCAACTCAAAATAAAAATCTAAATAAGCCATCAACAACCTACTAGCCAAAAAGGAAATCGTTAAGGAAACAAAATGTAGCTATGCAATCTGGTAAGAGTTGTCAAGGTTGAACTCATTGAGATTTTGTTCTGTACAACATGTTTTTGTTTTTAAGGTTTTTAGTTTTCTTGTTGAACTGGATTGAGCAGAACATAGTCTCAACAAGTTCAGCCCTGATGACTCTTATCAGATTTACACAGAAGCATTATGTATCCATAGAGCCCCAAAGTTGCTTTCTTCTCTTGGATGGAAAGACTTGCTACATGATTTACATTGTTTTCCCAATAAATGCAATACACAAGAATCCCAAAGTCTAATTCAAGTATGTACAAACATAAACTGTTGTTCATGTCTTAATATCACTTAACTGTATATTACATTAAGTGCAGATATTATTTTAGTGTTCCTTGATGCCTTTATTTTGTAACAGCTAAAATTGTTCACAGTGACAATGATGGAAAAGGGTCATTCCAAAGTACAGGTTTTCTTTCCAAATTAAGCCTTTGATGTCTTCTGTGCTTAATATTGTCAATATGCCAGTGCCTCAAATGTGCTGCTTCTTTAACACAGTTTGTGTAATTAGAAAATATTACTCCATTGGTCAGTTGGGTAAGTTCTTAAACTCAGAAGGACTGCTAATCAAAAGGTTTTATGCATAAATAATCTCTACAAAGAAGCAAATGCAATACAAAATTAGGCAATAAGCATGTAGGAGTGGCGCAGTTTAACATAACAGCACACTTGAAGTAATTTGAAAATACACTGCTTGAAAAAAAAAAGGCAGTAAACATAAGGAAAATCAGCTTGAATAAGAACTCTTATAAAACTTACGAGTTGTTAGGGTTTTAAGAGACGTCCGTTACTTTCTTCTGCAGTTCTATCCAGCTATAACCAAAAAACACATAAGAATATAAAATTCAGAGCCCATTAAAAATTTAAAGTGGGGAAAAGAAAAAAACTCTGCACTTCAAATATAATTTTTAAAAGGAGTTACGTGGAAAAATAATTTATTTTAAAGGGGTTTACACTCTGAAAGGAAAATATAGCTAAAAATATATACAGTAAGAAATCTAGATAATTTAATGTTTCAATAGGTGTATTTTTAAAAATCAAAGCCCAAATGAAATATTAATAGGTATATGGCAGTGGCCCTTACAGAAGTAAATCTTTAAGAGAAAACGTCAACAAGAGAGTGAAAAACAGATCAAGCTACAAGCCCACAATTTAGTGAAATAACAAGAAAACAGGGATCTGAACCTCTAACATGCAAAAGCCAGCACAAGGTCCCAAAAAACCCTTACTGCAACTTAGGTTCAACAACAGCCCTCTTTACCAGCTTCATTCCTAATTTTTCATCAGTAAAGCTGGTCACCTAAAATTTTGTCACACCTAAATTTCTGC